AAGAAGTTATGAACAAAAAAATTCGCGTTCACTCTGGGCCGTGATTTCGGTGTTCATCTTGTCGCCGCTCAATGAATTCTTATCCTATCGCGAAGAACTTTATACCCCCGGAAAGATGAGGTGAAGATCTTTTCAACGGTGTATTGATTGTCGCGATGCGTTTATGTTTGACGAAGTTACGAAAGTTTGTACACTGGTCTATGCACTGCGATACAGTGCGCGTTCACTCTGGGCCGTGATTTCCGTGTTCATCTTGTCGCCGCTCAATGAATTCTTATCCTATCGCGAAGAACTTTATACCCCCGGAAAGATGAGGTGAAGATCTTTCCAACGGTGTATTGATTGTCGCGATGCATTTAGGTTTGACGAAGTTACGAAAGTTTGTACACTGGTCTATGCAATGCGATACAGCGCGCGAATTTTTTGCGAGTTAACTCGTACGTAGTGGATCAGGTCATGCATAAAGTGCGAGTTAACTCGTACTCAGCACGCAAAGGGTTAACGATTTACTAAGTAGGGATGACCAGGCGGTTGAGCAATAGAGAAAAATGGGGAGAATATAGCAATGATAAAAAAGGCGAATGCATTCAAGCGGTAGGTGGGAGCAGTGAGACACGAGGTAGCCAACAGCTTTACTGACTTTGCTACAGATATAGTCGACATGTCTACTAAACGATAAGTCTGAGTCAATGACCAAACCAAGATGTTTGTGTTGTTTTACCACTGTGAGGTCTGTGAGGGATCCGGGAAGAGTGAATGCATAGGTTGGCTCTGAGTTCGGCAGGAATAATATCTCAGTCTTGGCGATATTAGGTCTTAGTCTCCAGGTAGTCATCCACTGATGGACTTCGTTGATACCGCGCTGGAGACTGTCTCGCAGCCTGTCTAGACACTCATTGAACCGGAGCAGTGCAGTATCGTCAGCAAATAAGGACACACCTTCAACATGACTGGGAAGATCATTTATATACACTAGGAAAAGGAGGGGCCCTAGGATGGATCCCTGGGGCACTCCGGACAGAACAGGTGAAGCATCTGAGAGAGTTCCACCTACAAAGACAACTTGCGTTCTGTCGGATAGGTAGTCTGTAATCCACTCCAGCGCTGAGTCACACACACCGAAAACTTTGGAAAGTTTAGCAAGTAATGCACGGTGCCACACGGTGTCGAAAGCTTTCTCGAGGTCGAAAAAGTACATGGCAACTTTCCGCCCCATATGACGATGGTCGGCAATGTTTTGGATCAGCTTGGTGAGCTGTAGAGCGGTCGAGTCACCACGACGAAACCCAGATTGCGCGGGATCCAGAGCAGGAGAAATATGATTATACAATTGATTGAAGAAGAGCCGTTCGCAAAGTTTGGAAATACAGGACAGGAGGGAAATTGGGCGATAGTTACTAGCTTGAGATTTGCTGCCTTTGCACTTGTAAATAGGCACAATTTTAGCCAGTTTCCAGTCAGTAGGGAACTTGCCTGTGGTGAAGGAGAGGTTAAATAGGCGGCTAAGTGGAAAAGAAATCGCAGGAGCTAGCTTCTTTATCATATTGTTCGTGATACCGTCTAGCCCTGGCGCTTTCCCAGATTTCAGGTTTGAGATGGCTTTACGAACATCTGCTGTAGTGATATGAACGCGGGTGAATTGGCGAGTAAGACGAGTGTCATATTGGAGAGGGGGTATTACTAAACGTGGGTCATCAGGCACCGCGACAGAGGTAAACTGCTTGTTGAGGATGGTTGCTTTTTGGAAGCTGTCGGACACCAGCAGCCCATCAGGGCTTGCAATGTCAGGGATGCCAGGTTTTACTTTGTGCGATCGCTGACTGCGGACAAACTGGTGAAGCGTAGTGCTGCCTGAGGTAAGTGTTGTTTTGATTGAACGAATGTACTGGCGGTGGCACCAGCGGGAGAGATGTCTCACCTGGTTCCGCTGTGCCTTATATGCTGATAGGTTGTAGTCCGTAGGGAATTTCTTGGAGAGGCTGAATAGGTCACGCTTCAACTTGATAGCCTTGCGTAGTTCAGTGGAAACCCATGGATGATATTTGCGTGTAGACCCTGGGGTTGAGGGAGTTCGATTTGGTTTGCGGGAGCTATGAAGGGGAACATACTTGGACAGCACAGTCTGCAGGACACTGTGCAGGTTACTAAGTGCACTGTCCACGTCTGAGGATATTAATGAGTTCCAAGGTACTGAGTCTAAGTCTGCATTGACCGCCTCCCACACAGCAGGTGTGACGTGTCGGAGATCGAAAGACATAGGGTTAGGCTCCTGAGCTTGAGACGTTATTTCGCGGGGAGACTGAGGCAGGGGGATGTCGAACTGGCAGTACACAATGGCATGGTCTGAGGCGCCCAGAGGGCAGTCAGTTTCGACGCAAGACGAGAGATTGGCACGGTTACTAAATACCAAATCCAAGCAGGCCTGGACACCAGAGGGTGACGTGTATGTCCATGTGTTGACGAGTTGGTGAAGACCAAATGGACTGAGCGTGCGATACAA